TTTGACCACTAAAAGCAATCATAGGGGAATGTTTGAAACCCGAGATAACCCTGAGACCTCACGTATATGACATTCACCCAAAGCCCGGGGGGTTGCTATAATCACGACAGTATACGTACTTCAGGTGGACGAATAAATGTTAACGTAGCACGCATAGGGAGTCATAAACAGAAGGATTTCGTTTTGCCTTGACGTTCATGTATAAATCCTAGCGGGAAGTCACAATGCAAAGGAACGGTAAGTAATCAATATGTATTAACGACTAGAGCAAGGATGCCCATATTGGGGTTGCATCTGCCACTATCAGCTACCCTGGGGAGGGCCTAGATCTGAGCTTCGAGGGAAATGGAACCGAGGGCGTTCTCTCCTGCTACTAGAACAGATCTGTGAACGCATCTACGAAGGGCTCAGCATTCACGACCGCAGTCAGAGGGCTTTTGAACCTGTGACTCAGTCTGGAACTTTAAATTCAAATGCCTAACAACGAAAAACCTCCGAGGTTAAGCTGCTGGTCGGCGTTGCAAGCGATTGTCCTTGTCTGCCCGATGGGACAGCTGCTGCCATGCCCTCTGTTTTGTCTGCAGCAAACGTTTTTGTCGCGTAAGATTCATAAATTATGTGTTCAAGGATCGGCATACATAAAAACGGAAAACATTCCTAGTAAACCACAGTAACTAGGGTCTACATGCAAGGGTCACTGTATGGGATGCTACGCAGCAGTGCTTTGTTGCCAAGAAACGGTGTCCGTTTAGCCCTGGGTTCCCATTTAGTAGCAAAACATGAAGGAGAAGGTGGAGGAAGAAGTAGATGTATAAGGGAGTCAGGCGGTTTGTACGCGGGGACGATAGTGCATCTGCCGATACAAACGGAAACGCGAGTTCCCGGAAGTAGTTGAGAAGAGGGGAGCCCGGTCGTTGGAGCAAGAAAGAGACCAAATCGCACGAGCTGCATAGTTTGGTGAACGTTCCCGTATGTCAAGGACGTTTCTGAAGGCGTCAATCGCTAGCTCACGCAACTTGAAGTGTGTATTGTACACACCAAGTGCAGCTATCGGGCACTGAATAATGAGGACCAAGAGCCTGCCGGTACGGCAGGAAATGTCTGAAGTCTTTACCAAATCTGGGCAAACCAACCACGTTGGAGAAACTGGGAGACAACTCGAAACGGATGGTCGAGCGCACAGCAGCAGCAGCAGCAGTGAGGGGAATGGCGCCAGCCCACAAGTCGCGGCTCCTTTCAAGGGACTCGGTCACGTATTCAAACTCGATGGCGCTGGACTTTTCGAGTCAGGTGAAAATTGCGCGAACCACAAACTGCCTGGGTCGTAGCTCTCCGACTCACAGTCGATTGGCAAGCCCAGTGACCTCACACCTCCGCATTCTGTGCTGAGACTTTGTTTAAGGAAAGGTATTGGCCAGGTGGGGGGTGCAAGGGCAACCAGCGGTCCCGGCACCAACCTCGGCAAATAAAATGTCTGAGTCAGCAAAAACCCACACGAGTGATGCAATGGCGTCAATTAACGACTCGGCTGCGGACAATCAGGTAATCATCGCATCACTTGCAACCATCTGCGAGGAGTACGGGAGCCGCTAGTCTTGATGAATATGCAGTTCACTATCGGCTGCATCCTGTAAACGCTGCAGCACTAGTGTAAACTCTGGCCCTATCTGATCCGGTCTCTGTCGGGAGAATGGAGCGCGACTTTGAAAGGTCAGCCGAATAAAACTATTGTTCCAACAATCGCATCTCCTGCGTCTTAACGACACTGTAATATCTTTCGGATTTTGGCGTCCCTGTCAGTGAAGTAATGGTCATTGTAATAGAAATGAATGAGAACTTACCAGATTGGATCGTTGAAGAGCTTTGATTCCGCTAAAAGATTCAACTGTTTGGGCCGAACATGCCCAACAGTAGCATTCTTAGCTCTCGCGCTGGGATTATAAACAAATAGACACTGCCTGTCAGAGGTAACGCAGCGCATCCATCGAACTAATGGTTCACTGACACACAGACTACGTTAGTAGCCTTTCCAAACATCAGACGGACAATGATTCAGTAGACGTTTAAGACTCTTCCCTAAAATGACAGATTCGTACCTGATTTTTTACAGAAACGAAGACTTCACTGGAAAACTTACTTTTATTAACAAAATAAGTCTACCCTCAGGGGACCGAAAAGCAAGTTGAAGTACACGGAACTGAAAAATTATCCTAGATAGCCCGTAAAGGATGGCCGTATTGACTAGGAGATTTTACATAGACGGAAACAAAATGCGCTATCAAGGTGACTCCAAGAATAAAATAACGATAGGAAACATCATGCAAAGGACTTAATCTCACAAAATATCCTCAGTGCACACAGAAATGATAACCTGAAGAAGCTGTCGGTCATCACATCTGCGATTTATCCGAGTCAGTGCCAGATCAGTGCGATTTGGTGGCGGTGCGTTTGTAGGGGCATCCTCAGAGTTCTTTCCAAGAACGAGTGTTTGGAACCTTCAGATTTACCGAAAATCGATTTTACCGTGAATATCTTCAGCCATTGCTGGTAAAGAGACTGCCTCCATGGAAATGCAAAATTTTTCGACAATTGATAACCCGATTTCAATTCTTTGGTTGTCACCTACAGAGTAGTTGCCACTTGTTTCACCCGCATCTCTGACCGTTGTATAAAATCGGGTTTGTCGAGCACAAAAAATTAAAGCAGAAATGTGCGTACTTGGTTTTCTTAAAGCCGCTTAAAACTGTCAACAGTTATCTTTTGGATGTTCGGCCAGGTTGTACAGAAGTCAAAAATGCTAATTCCCCCACGCGATTAAATTTTGGGATTAAAACAAATTAAAGAGATTAGGACCGCTTAGCCGGAGATCACAAACTGTTGGGGTTGAATGACGTTTGCCTTCCGTTCTTAACAAGCGGTGGCCTTAGTGGAAGCCCACCTGGACCTGTTTGATGTCCGAAGTATTCGGGGCGACAACGCAGCTGTGAAGAAAGACATCAATTACCTCTATGGGGTTTAAAATGTTCGTTCCGCTTCTACATAATATGCTTTTTATCAAATTCAAGTCTTTATTCTGTTTGCTGAGAAAATAAAATGGGGCTTCAAGGCGGCTGGATTGATGCACACCGTCCTCCACTTCGCCCTTTTTTCCTCCATATGACTGAGTACTAGCGACATCCGCAGACATGACATGGACTTGGGATTCAGCAGTGAGTGCACTGACCGATGGTCCACCGACGCGAGTTCGAGCTCGATATGACTGAATACCCGGAACTGGTGGCATTATTGGCTGGTGGCGGCTAATAAACTAAGATTATCCGCCACACTTTTTCCATCCTCATCGCCTTCAGTTTCTTCTATTTCAGTTTTCTTTCATTTCTAACATGCAGATAACAACTCTTGTTTGCCGACAATGGGAAATTATGCAAGCCCTAAAATGATCCTCTTTTAATTATGAGTTTCTCAACGTATTATAATGTTATCCTACACTACCTTAATTTACTGTCCTTACCCTTTGATCATTCCTAAATTTGACCGCCTTTAGACTCTACGCGGCATCTTGTTTCTTCGTTGTTGCCAATCCCCCTTCTCCTCCTCCTCCTCCTTTGCCGCCTACAGCTGCGACAAAATTAAAATCTCATAAGGTATCCACTTCTGTCAGATGTTGCGGAAACGGCCGCAGGGGTGCCGTTTTCCTGCTATTTCACTGTGTTTCCTCGCTCGACCAGGGCTGCTAACCCCTGCAAGTCAACAGCCGCCCTAAAGCAGTATGATACGGTGGATTTCCAAGTAAACATTTTGGTCGCTGGGGTGCTTTGTGTGTGAACATCATAGATGCCGCCGCTGCCGCAACTTTTTTTGTTTGTCAGCACACCGCAGACATGTCATGTTGACCTTCGTACAGCTATGGTCCTCACCTAGTTTCTTGGTCCTCTTAAGGCATCATTTTTGATATGGTTATATCTATGTGATTTATACAACTGTGGTCTGGAAGGTCAGCAGTCAACAATTACCAGACATGTCTGTCTTGAAGGAAGTGTAATTTCGCTGTTGAGATAGTTGTCACAAATGAGCAGTCGCAGGTTAAGGCAAGTTTGATTATATGTTTCTTAAAAGCGTAATCTCCAGCTC